CGGGCAGAGGCGCACCCGCGGGCGGAGGACTGAGGGAAGGGAGGAGCTGACCTCTGCGAACACCCAGGATTGCCAGCCTTACTCAGCCTTAGCTGAGTAAGAGATGGGAACGGTTCCATCGGCAGCCGGAGTCCGAAGGGATCTCTCGAGTGAAAGCCCTGCTCGCCTCTCTGGCCCCGGCTGCCGCACCCGGTGCCATCCCTGTCATCGCCAGGCTCCGTTCCCATGGGACAGCGTGGATKCTCCGGTTTGAGTGGGGTGTGACCCACGTTAGATGAACTGCCCATTAGTGACTGGGGTTTCTTTCACCCCGAGAAAAGTGAGGCCTGAGTCTGTTTTTTTGGTGTTCATGAACAGATTTTCTTAGTGAGGTGATTTGTTATTGATCTCTTAATCAGATATTGGGATTTTATTTAAGGTATTATTTATTTAAGGGATGAAAGCTTACAGATGTTCTCTGTGGAAGTAAATGATTTTTCATGCTTATCATCCTCTAATTAGAGTTCTTCAATCTTGTTTACCAATGTGRGTGCCATCCAGAATGACAGGTAAATGATAAGGAAAAAAAGTACAGCAAGGTAACAAGGACTGACCAGCTATAAYCACTTCAGTTGCTGACTGATAGTCAACAATGAAGTCAGGACTCCAAATGTCAGTCTTGTGCATTCACACCTGCATTACTGTGAGCCCYTTACAGTAGTGGTTTGACCAAGTCTTCTGTGACTCTTTAAACTGTGTTCTGTGAGACAGCTTCATGAAAAGGTATTACAATTAGCTGTCCCCTGGGCTACACAGGGAGTACAGGCAGTCTACCTTTTGTGACAGAGAAGCATTAAAAAAATGCAAGCCAAATGAAAATTAATGCTTTTGAATCTGTGAAATCAAGGCCATGGTAGTTGTTGGCTGACCTACAAGGTTAATTTCCCGCCTGTACCATAGGTATTTCTTGCTTCTCTGSGTTGAGGAGAAGAATTAGAGCCTTGCTTTATCCTGATGATGTGATCTGTTTGTAAAACTGTTATAGTGTTCTGGCTGAACATAGCCTGTCTCTCTTCTATCATATGTTCAGCATTACCAAATGTTTGCTATTGACTTGATAATTTTGCAGCTCGGATAAAAGAACAAAAATTGTGCTGTTTATTTTTGTTGTTTCTTTTTTGTTATTTTTTGGAAAGGGATTAGGTTGCAAAACTGATTTCAAAAGTGGGTAGAGCTATTTTTGTAGCAGCTGTGTTTTATTTAACTTGTATTTTTCAAAATCGTGTGGGTTTTTTTTAAACATAACATGCCACTTGTTGAACCTTTCCATCTTGAAAAAAATGTTAAGCGTGCATTCTCAATAAATAGTCATATGGAATTGGCAAAAGAGGAATGAAAAATCCAAGGTTTTAAACACTTGTTATAACCCTGTGGGAAACAAAAAACTTATTTCTCTCTTTGGTTTCTGTGTGGGAGAAAGAAGTTGTGAATGGGCTCTTGTCCTATGATTCAATGTTTTTAGGTAACAGAGCTTTGAGATAGACTGCATGTTGGTAAGACTTGCATTTTTCTGGTGTGTGACCTGGAAGCCATGAAATGGGTTGGTAGCAGCCTTGRAGAAGTGTTGGAAGGAGTCAGGTTTGCTAGGAAGAAAAAAAATAACATTTGCATGGCAGAGCTTCCAAAACTAGGAAGAGAGTGGGAATGKCTGTGATTTGTTCATGTTTACCTTTTGCTGTTGTTGCTAAACAACTGCAGAGCTGCACTTAAAAGCACCTATTTATGTAGAATAGCAGGTAAGCAAGTTGTTTTGTACCAGGCTGTAAATAGATGGTGAATGTCAACCTGCCACTTTATGGTAGAGAGTAAATACYAGAATCCTGACTGTCTTTTCTGCTGCTTTCTGTTCCTGTTGTCAGCTTTGTTGAATGTGGTATGTTCTGCCAATTATTTGATAAAATTGTAGTTCTGACTTGGTGATTCCATTTAGAATCTTGTAAATGATGGTGGGTTCCTAGTTACCGTAGGTAATGCTTCTTGGAAGTGAAAGAAGATTGGGCTGTGGGAGAGAGACAGATTAAAGATGGGCACTTCTGTCTCAATGTAATACTTTAGCTTTTTACCTTCTCCCTTTTCCCCTCAGCTATGTGGCAAATGTATTTTTTTCAAGGCTCACATCAAATAACAGAAATGGCARAAGGAAATTAAATAATTCTTAGTGGTTTCTCCTTTAGATCTCCCCAGAAGTCCTTTTCTGTTGTTATTTCTGTCCTTAGTCCCATTTAGCAGCTGCGTTCACTCTGCATGTGTGTGCCTGCATGGAATTGCATTAGTTCCACTCTGTGGCAGGGTAAAGGCTACAAATCTCATCACAAAGTCTTAACTTGCAGAGCTGCAAGTTTCTGCATAACTTTTCTCATTCGTGAAACATGCATTTAAAAATAAAAATACATATTTGTTAATCCTTACAAGATTAAAGGTGGCAGCATTTTAATTGAATTCTCCTACGTTCCATGTGGGTGATGGAGATCTTCCCCTTTACTTACTTGCTTTGATTTTCAAGATAAAAAAAACATACCTTTCATGTTACTTTACTATGTTGTGTTCAGTGCAAGTTGGCAAGACTGATGCTTACCCACTCGTGAATTTTGAYATTGATGCTACATGACTAAATCGGGAGAACTTGTAGTTCGTGGGTGTGGATGCGGTGGCAGTTGTCTGGATTATAAAGATGCTGAAATACTTTCAGAATTTTTATGTATTATTAATTCTTTCATTGTCTATTTTGGTTCGTAGTCCTATTTTGTTCCTGTTGAGGTTTTTGTGTGCATTTCCAATGTTAGCCCTTAAACATTTGGCTGATCAGATTTTCTGTGAGGTAAATAACAGTATTTTTTGGAATATTTTCATTAAAACTAGTGTAGTAACAGAGTTTCACAAAAAAATTAAGCCTATGTATGAGCAAGAGATTGACTCAGATGAGCTCCCCCACGAAATCCCCAATGATCAATCAATGTTGTTCACTAATAGAAACAATAACTAATTAATTAATTGAGCTAATGAGCCACTTGATAGCAGGATGCTTCTGTGAATAGGATAGTCAGCTCAGTGACCTAAGTCGTTCTACTGATTTTCTGTTTCAGCACTGAGAAGGATATCTGAAAACACTGCATTTTTCCATCAATTAGTCTAACGTTGACATAACTCCATATTCTTTTTTTTTTTTTCTTACAGCTCTGATTATTAACAGGAAAATAACACTGAAACAGAATGTCGCTTACCTTTTGTCTGAAAAGGTGAAATCTTTTCAGATAGAAATGGCTGATAAGGGTGGGAAGATGCTTCCAGGACACTTTTACATTCAAGTGGAGTACGACTATGAGTATGAGGCTAAGGACAAGAAAATTGTGATCAAGCAAGGGGAGAAATACATCTTAGTGAAAAAGACTAATGATGATTGGTGGCAGGTCAAAAGAGATGAAAATTCCAAACCCTTTTACGTGCCAGCACAGTATGTGAAGGAAATACCCCGAAAAGCGCTGATGCCACCTGTGAAGCAGGCAAGCATGCTGCCAAATAACACCTTGAAGTTGACACATGGATTACAGAGATCAACAGAAAATGTGAATAAGTCACCAGAGCTTTCTAGTTTCGGAAAATCTTCTCCAGTTCAAGTGTCTTGCTTAGTTCGAGATGCCAATCAGAATCTGGGACCACACAATAGCCCCTGTCAAACTTTTGGTTTGAGTCTGGACCTTACCCAAAACAATGGAAAACTTAACAATGAGTTGCAATCTCCCAAGGTTTCCAATCAGTTTAGAACCATTTCCATGGGTCATTTCCCATGCCCAGAGTTCTTGGAAATAGAGAAGACCAGCTTTTTGCATGAACAATCTTGTGATTCAGCAGGAGAAGGCTCAGAAAAAATTCACCAAGATTCGGAGTCTGGAGATGAACTGAGTAGTAGTTCCACGGAACAAGTGCAGGTAAGCTACAAAATGGCCCCCATGTCTGGTTTGTTTTCTTTCATTATTGCCATGATTGCCTGCTACTGTTTTAAGATTTATTCCCAAAAAATTCCACTTGTTTAAGTAAAGATGTCTTCTCTCAGCATGAAATTGTTACTGAAACAAAACAGTTGACGTGTCTAGTCCTTGCAGAATTGCTGTGCTGTGGACTAATTACTGTGAATTAATTCCATGTACGTTAGCCTGTGATTTAATGTTAAAGAACAGTGACGTTTCTCTATTAAGACTGGTTTAATGTGACCCTGAATTTGGGTTATATTTTCTTTCAGAGGAAGGGAGCCTATTGCTTGTAACTCCTTGCAGCTTGGCTTGTTGAAATAATAGTGCTAGTTACTGTCAGTTTTCCCTAAGTGTGTACAGATAGCATAGGAGCTGTGAATTAATGTCTTAGTGGGTTTAATTACACTTAAGATTTACATGGAGTTTAATTTCTGGCTTGAACATTTTATTTGTAGACTGTTTTAATGAGTCAGCCCTGCCAATTCTGCTTCTCACAACTTCATTCTGGATTAAAACTCAAAACATGTGAGTTTGTTAATTAGTATGGAAGAATCTCAGGAATGATGTACTCCTACTTCAGGCTAAAACTGAGCATTGATGGCCTTTGTCCTTCGTAATGCAGTTTCTCTCACTTCTAAACTTTTTTTTTTTAACAAGCATCCCCCACCCCCACAAAAAGATTAGAACTCTGACTTAATCAGGTCACTTCTGGTACGGGTAACCAAGTTAATTAGTCTATTGTAATCCAGGTTTGCTCTTAAACCAGTGATGTGTGTGTGCATACACACAGTTATATATTTATATATGTGTGTGCATGTTGATAATTCYCCCACCTCACACTTGCCTCCCCCATCTTCCTCTAGGGAGATGTTAAATTATTTTAAATTCTGTTTAAAGCTCCCTGATCTTGAACTTGCTCTGTAGTGYGAAACTGGTTTTGCTTGGATGAAAACTGATGGTTACAGTAAATCCCACTGCCAGCATGTGTTCAGCAGAGGATCTCAAATCTAACTTGATGCTAACTTTAGACATGAAAAGTCTTTATAATTGAGAGCTGTGAATCAGTACTTTGCTAATAAGAAACAATGAAGACAAAGCTGCTTAGGAATCAGTCAGYGTGGGAAGATCTTAAAGATACAAGATTGATTAGGTGAATTACAGAGTCCTGAACTGTATGTAAATATATTTATTGAAATTCTCAGAATCAGTAGCTTTTAAATATCCTAYATTCTTGGCCTCATTCTTGATATTCAGTTTCTCTAGTTAGAGGACATCATGTCTCTATAATATTTGTATATTTTATGTTAGTTTTAACTTCCATGACCCCTCCCCCAAATAATAAGGAATRAATAGGATTACTGAATTTAATTTCTTTTCTTTAGTGATGCCTTGATTATGCAGTGTGAAAATCCATAAGCTTTCTTGTACTCTCTTTACCACACTGCCCTAGCTCAGTGTAGTTCATATGAACCACTTAGAACTTGGCACGATAAAGTGATTATTAGATGTTTATTTTAGAAGCATGTCTTGGCCTGTTGACTGCCATATTAATCAATTGCCAAACAAATGATGAAAATACTAAGGAATGTTTAGAAAGTATATCCTACTTTMAATAGTTTACCACATTAAAATTTTTATTACATGTTAGGACAGTTCCTTCTTCTGTGTTGACTATAATTTGATGCATTTCCTTCTCTAAAGCAGATGGAATTAATATTACATGGGTGYCTTTTGTCAATAATAAATATATGGCCTGCAGCTCAGTTTCCACTGGACTTTGTGCCTCTTGATGCAGTGACACTTAATMTTTTCACAGTTCTCCYCTCTSCCATCCYACCCCACCCCCCTGAACTTGAAACGCTACAACCCGTTTATAAATTTGTTATTGAGYGGGGCAGCAATGCACGTATTGTAGACACTGTGTCATGGGAGGTCTGAAGCGGGGAGTTTTCATAGTGTTTAAAAATAACAAATGCTAAAAACACCACATTTTGGCTGTGGAAAACGCTTGGCAGTTTCTGCCTGATGTTACTGAAGGACTTGTCATTATCAGACTCTTGGGTAGCAAGAGTGCGGGTTCTGGCTGTGCCTTGCAGTTTGTCTTATTTTGTAACTTAATCTCATAGTGCGTAATCGCAAGCTCTTTAAATACAATGAAAATGTTTGACATTTAGTAGCCGTGGGGATTAAAGCAGTGGTAGAACTGATGTCACCGTTAGCTCAGTCTAGATGTTCAGAGTGCCAGCCTTCTCACTGGAACAGCCTGGCAGTTTTTTTAGAATTCTTTCAATAATGAGCATTGTTTAGTAGAAATCAGCTGTGCAGAAATTAATGGCTCAGAAAGCTGTTTTTATTGCCCTTAGTCTGTAGTGAGAACATCAAGTTCCTGGCTTTCACGCAAAAACAGGATTTCACTTCACAAGACTGACTGCTTCTCCCTCCCCTGCCTGCTGTGGAGTTCAGTTTTATGCAGTCTGCATTATAATAAACTCTAAGCTACAGGTGTTTTCTCTTAAATTTGTAACATTAAAGCTAAATTACCTTAATAATACCCTCATATAAGTAATTCTTTGGTGGTGTTGAGGTGACAGTGTGCAGCTTTAGCCTGACCTTCAGTGTGTTTTCAGTRTCCTTGAGTACAAATACCAGATACAGAGGAATGCTGCTCTTGTGAGATCCTTCTAAGAAGTGGTTACATTATTCCCTGAAGATTATCCTCCTCCTCCTTTCCAGTAATGAAGTGCAGGTTCTGCAACTGTTCAGTTTTGAGCTCATGGGTTTGCTGGCTGTGGAAATACTGGAAGATCCAGAGCCTCCAAAGTAGTGCATAAAGAAAGGATTTTTTTTAGCAGATGAAATATATGAAGGACATAAAAGTGGCAGTGTGAGCAGAAGGATTTACCAGTGAAGATGTAGCAAAGGATCTGGTCAAGAGAAATATCAGGGCTGGGTGATGAACATTCTTGACATTTTATGCAAAGAAATTACAGCTGTGGGTGCAGCTCTGGTGCATARAGCATTGTAAGAGCCATATGTTGGTTTATGAACTTGAACTGTAGGAAGGCTGGAGGTAATTAGAGGAAGTAGGGCTTGAAAGGAAACAAGCTTCAATTTAACCAGATTTAAATCTCTGGTGGAGACAGTAACTGCAGGTAGAATTGGAACTGAATGAAATGGTCTGAGTGAATGCGCAGCTGGGTGTAAGAATYGCTGACACAGTGGTGGCACTCAAAGCTCACTCACTCAAAGAGATTCAATGAAATTCAATACAATTGTAAGAAAATGGTGYCAGATGTGATGTCCTGATCCCAAGGAAGGGTAAAAATACGCCTCAGAGAGAGGATGTGGGGGAAAAGGAAAGTTTTGAAAGAAGAGTTCTTTAGCAGATATGGACAGTACTTGAAAGAAGCAGATGGGATGTCTGAGCAGTATGCAGTAGAAGCAGAGACTTATGTAATTGTTTTGAAGTTGAAAAAAGAAGTTACATGTTCAGGCATGCCTAAAYAGGCAGGAAAAGCTGAAGCAAAAGTGGAAGACATGAAAAGTTGTCTTGAAAAGGAGCCTTGGGCAGTGTTTGCTGGTAAAATCTCCTAACAACTTTTGAGAAAGAAGGTATGCAGACGGGGAGAGAGTTGGGTAAGTTCAGAGATCATGTCAAGAATGTTTAGGTGTCATCTTTGAYGGTGATACTTGGAATAAAATTGTTATAGACAGAAATTAAAATCTGCTTTTGGCAGTGCTAGTGCATGACCTATGGGGAAGAACTTTGTTTTTGAGGCGTTACCTCCTCTTTTGTCATAGGAGACATAGAATGTATTTAAGGGTAAATACATGGCACTGTCTTAATGTTACTTTTTATGCTTATTAAAAGTTACTTTTAGCAGCAGGCTGGTTTTAATCATTATAAATATAGACAGTGACCTATTTGCAAAGATTGTTCTGTCTTTCATCCTCTTTAGTAATTGACTATTGCATAAACTGTGAAGCACTAAAGGGGATTATCACTAGGATGGCTGTTTTGCTTTGATTAATTCTGAGTAGTAAAGATCTTAAAGAGCTCTTTCTGTCTTGCCTTTGCAATTTCTGTGGGATTGCAGTAACTTTTTGGTCATGAAAATAAAATATTTTCTGTTTCCGTAGTTGTCAGAGCACACCTTCTGGAGATCTTGGCATTCTTGACATTGTCACTTAGTTGAAAGACTGGTGGCAAATCATTAGTGTTGGACTGCCTTTCTGGTCAAACATTAAACCTGTGAAATAAATGGCTGTCACTGTTTTGTGGGACACAGAAATAGTTTTCCTCTACAATAAGAAGTTTTGTGCTGTTTTTTTATTTCATTCATTTGTCCAAGAGATTAATAATTTGACAGTATGATGGAAGCATGGAAGACTTTTTTTTTCTTAGTGAATCTGAGCATGTTTTCAGATTCATGGTGATTTGTATAATGTGATAGTTTGAATTATGTTCTAAGTACCATCCTTTAATCTCTTAACTTCTTAAAARCAGCATTTGTTATTCTAATGGTTTTAAATGCTGAAATATGCCCATTGTAATGAGGTGAAGAATAACTTTCAATGACAGGGAACTGTAGGCTTATAATTTAAGGAGTTTTATGAAACTTTTTTTTTGTAATTTCAGTAGCTGCTGCTAGAACATTGTAAACAGCTTGAAATCTTAGCTGAATTAACCTAGTAACTCAAAGATTCTGAACAATTGATATTAAGGAATACATTTCCTGGCTGGTTTGGTGGTTTTTTTTTTCCCCTTACACAGTGTCAAGAGGTCTGGATAGTTTCACTTGACAGTGGTGCTRTTTGTGATTAGCTCAGTCTCTGTAGTTTTAATATGTAAGTCAGGTAACAGATAGTTCTCCCTCACAGTCCAGGTGAATAGTTCTGGATTTAGGTGCCCTAAAATGAGAAGCCACTGTGTCCCACCACTGCTGCCTACAGCCCAT